AGATAAAGAAGTGACTTCCAAACTTTATCCAAATATAAACAATTTTAGTAACTTTCCATCTCCTCTTAATTTACCGCCAATGATCTCTTCAATCCATGTTCCATTTCTTATCTACAAACAAATCCATAAAGCATCACCATTTCAGTCCTGGTGTTAGCAAAAGTCCATTAAGGGTTTCCAGAAATAACAACATATCTATTTAAACCTTGATCAAATAAACCAACTTTATATTCCTTCCTTTTACTTCTAACAATCTTAATCTTTAGTCCATTCAAGTACTGTCATAGAACTTGATTTCTTTTCATTTCTTTTTTGCCCCTTCTCACATGATTCATCCAAGCTTTAACAAAACCAACTTTATATTCCTTCCTTTTACTTCTAACAATCTTAATCTTTAGTCCATTCAAGTACTGTCATAGAACTTGATTTCTTTTCATTTCTTTTTTGCCCCTTCTCACATGATTCATCCAAGCTTTAACAAACCTCTTTTGTAAATCCAATATAAAAGAATTATCCAGGTCACTCTCCTGGTATATTATTTGTAATTCCCTTTTGATTTTTAAAGCATCAACTGATTTCTTTTGTATGTCCAATGAGACATCTTTTTTTCCATGTCTATTTTTTCAGTGATTTTTCTCCTGAGTTCTGACAAGGATCAGACAATTCATATCACTAAACATTCTTTCATTCAGAATTCCTTTCAATATTTCTCAAATGCTCAGTCTGTCAGGTCACATCTTCTAGTACCCATGAATCACTTAAAACAATTACTTTTTTAGCTGCAACATTAGCTGGCATTTGCTTAGTGTGACAATATAAGGACAGAGTAAGCTGTGGCATTTCAGTGTTAGCTGTGGTGTGCTTTCAAAAGCACATGAGCCATGTTAGGAAGAAATGGTGGAAAGTTACTGGCATTGTTCATGACTAATAATTGAACTTGAAAAGAAACTGGGATAGCCTTCTGTGATAAAGCTGGGCTGGTAGATCTGAACAGTAATGAAAACCCTGACCTATTTGAACATCTTCCCCTCCTGGAAACGTGTGACCTGTGGGCAGACATTCTATCAGGTTCTCTCACTTACCCCCCTGCCCTTCTGGTGCTCATCATTTTATGAATGACAATCAGGCCCATTTCTCAGGTTGCTCACCAAGCTCCCGTGTAAAGGAATCCAAGTGTGGCCCCCGTGATCTGGACATTTGTTGAAAGGCAAGCAAAGAAAGGATAGGAGGAAAGACCCACTTCTGTGGCACCAATCAGAATAGCAATGGCTGTAAGAAGATAGAAAATGGATAATGAAATCCCCATAATGGAAGGATAATGGGCAGGCATAAATATACTGAGGTTTAGTCTTAGGAAGACTCATAGCTCAATAGTAAAGCGCGGGCTTTTGCGGTAGAAGACAGGAAGCTCATTTCCTGATGCTGACACTGATTGCTGTCACCTCCAGTCTGGATGACAAATTCCAGAATGCATAGTCAAAGTGGCTGCATTCTCAACAAATCTGCAGGCACCAAGTTGATTTATGTGACACAGGAAGGTTATAGGGAAAGTGAGTTAACTGTGAGTTCACACTATCATACTCCTCCTCCACTGCTTCTGCTTCTGCTTCTCCTCCTTCTTCTGCTTGTTTGGGGCAGTGGACTGTGTATATGAAGAGGTTGTAAAACCAACCTTCAACCTTCCATGTCTTTATTCTCACCTTCCCCAACTAATGCTGCTTAGACACTTTTCTCCTCCCAAAAGAGCTTTTTTCATCACATAATCTCACCAATATTACCAATCAGAAATCATTTATTAAAAAAACATGACATCAGCTCAGAGCCAATCAGATCTGCCTATAAGGAGTCAATGAAACTCTTATATTGTTCACATTCTGACTGGGGAGGAAAGATAAGAATACAATCATATCATGAGATTTATGCTTCCCACTTTTTTATTTCATGACAAGATTTTTATTCTTGCCCATTTGTTATTAGCTGTCATTATTTTCAACAAAATGTGCATTTTCTTAAGTTCAGGGCAACAGCCTCCACACATTTTTTTTTTAAATTATTTGTGAATTTTTGAAATCACTTGTCTTCTTCCATCACAGGCAGTTGCACTTAGCTACCTGAAGATAATTCAGATGGATGAAAAATTGCCTTTACTCTAAACAGTTTTTGACCATCAGTAACACATTGTCAGGTCTGATTATTGATGTGTTGACATCACCATAACTGTTAAGAAAGATTATTTTAAAATAAAACATGGTCCTAAAACAACAGCTGATTATGTTGTCTATAAATTTACAATACAGTCATTCACTGAGTTCTTCCTAAGGAAGACATGGCCTTAATATGTGCAACCAAGAGATGGATACCAACAACCTACATATCCACCAAGTAGGAGTTGTCTGTCTTACTACTAATTTTGGTTAAAGAAAAAAACCTCAAATAGCACCATAATTGAAAGGGGGACTCTTTCTAATGTTGGAGAGAGAATTTCCACAATGGTCTCTTAAACCATTTGGCTGTACCCTTATTCTAACCCCCCTTTTCCCCCAATTACATCAGAAAGATGAGGACTGGTCAGAATCTGAAATGAAGTGATTCAGGCTTTAGGCCAGTGTTTCTCAACCTTGGCAGCTTGAAGATGTGTGGACTTCATCTCCCAGGATTCCCCAGCCAGATGTGTAGACTTCATCTCCCAGAACTCCTCAGCCAGATATGTGGACTTCGTCTCCCAGAATTCCCCAGCCAGATGTGTGGACTTCATCTCCCAGGATTCCCCAGCCAGTATGCTGGCTGGGGAATTCTGGGAGATGAAGTCCACACATCTTCAAGCTGCCAAGGTTGAGAAACACCGCTTTAGGCTAAAATGTTCTAATAGAATCTTTTACCTTTAATCCACTGTGGCAGCACTCGCAGAGGGAAATAACCATCTGCAAACAGAATCATGACTTTGTTCGCTGTTGCTCCAAAGGCAAAACCCATTGCCCACCGACTGCTGGACACTCCCATTAAATCCAAGGGTCTGTGAACAAAAAGATGTTCAAATTGCATGTTCAAATTATGAGAAAGAGGAAGTGTCTAGATGGGATGAAGTATTTGACAGTAAAACAGGCTGCAGTAGTAGGCAAGGGGACTCTCTTTTTCCAAATGGGTACCAATTTTAGATGTCTGTAGCATCTACTTTGCTAGAGTTTTGCTTGTTCTTGTAGATTTTTGCTAGATCTTGTAGAATCTTGTAGAACTTTAATTTTATTATTTTATATTTCTGTTGGGAGATTGTTAACAGGTATACGCCTCCTTCATTATGGTAAAAGTAAATAACTTAAGAAAGATACATATAATATTAATAACCTAGCAGTGAAATCAAGATGGTAAAGCCATAAATCAAAGTAAACACCAGTGTTAGGCCTGTTATTCTAGATTGGGAACTGCATGATTGGAAGAATGTGCCTAAAAATCTAAGGACAATATTTTAGTTTGTGTTAAGGAATGTGATCAGTGATGGGATTAGTGAATGAATGAAGAAAAGAAAATTGTCTTCTAGGCTACACTTGTGCATATCCCTGGAAAGGTCTGAGTACATCTATGAATATTTCTATTTAAACATTGTTTTCATCTATGCCTATAAAGTAGTATTTGCAAATTTTATGCAGACTTGTATTTTCTTTATTTTGGACAATGTGTAAGTAGCCAACATAATTAGAAATTTTGTTTATAAGCTCCAGCAGCCTAGGGGGGCTCTTTTGAAATGAACTTGTTGATCTCAGTGGAGATTGATTGATTGATTGATTGATCGATCAACCTATATTTGTATGTTTTCTATTCCTTATGAGGCTGGGTAGCTTTATGTTCCAATCCAAGAAAGGTGACTCCTCATATATCCTACCAATGCAGAATTAGAAATTGTCTATAGCTCTTAAAATCTGCCTGATTCTCTACTTCTCCAGCCTAAAGTATGCTGTAACTGTGCTCAATTATATATCTCCATCCCTGGTGAGGTAAGTGAGGCCGTGACCGCCCTCTCACGGTGCCTGGAGGCTGTAAGGGTCTGGATGGGGGACAACAGGCTCCAGCTGAACCCTGGTAAGACGGAGTGGCTGTGGGTTAATGGCTCTTCTGTATCCGGGACGTTGTCATTGTTGGTGCTGGATGGGGTAGCCCTGCCCCAGACAGAGCCAGTGCGTAATTTGGGGGTCCTCCTGGACTCACAGCTCCTGCTTGAAGAACAGGCGGCAGCCATGGCCGGGAGGGCTTTCGCACAGCTCCGGCTTGTGCACCAGTTACACCCTTTCCTGGATCTGGGTGCCCTTTGAAAGCTCACTCAGGCCCTTATTATCTCCCAGATAGACTACTGCAATGCGCTCTACTTGGGGCTACCCTTGAAGAATATCCGGAAACTTCAGCTGGTCCAGAATGTGGCCGCGCAAGCTATTTTTGGGGTCCAAAAAAGGACCCATATAACATCATTGCTCCGTGAGCTGCATTGGGTACTGGTTTGCTTCCGGGTCCCATTCAAGGTGTTGGTTATCACCTTTAAAGCCCTCCAAGCATTGGGGCCAGGTTACCTGAGGGACCGCCTCTCCCCCACGATTTCAACCCGTCCCACCCGATCACACAGAGAGGGAATGCTCCGGACCCCCTCGGCAAAAGAACTCCGACTAGCGGGGCCCAGAGGCAGCCTTCTCTGCTGTAGCCCCTGCCCTTTGGAACATCTTGCCCCCAGAGGTGAGACAGGCCCCCTCACTCCCGGCCTTTCTGAGGGACTTTAAGACCTGGCTCTGCCATCTGGCCTGGGGGGGAGGGAGGTCACCAGATGTGGGGTTGGCTAGCCCCCTAGAGGCCTGGTGTTGCTGCCTTGAATCATCGGCCTCCTGGATTTTTTTCCTTTTATTTCTATAAACCTGTACTGTTATAAATTTTAATTGTATATTTATTTATTGTTTTAATATGTTCTGAGCTGCCCAGAGTCCCCCATTGGGGGGAGATGGGCGAGGACAAGTTAAATAAATAGATAGATAGATAGATAGATAGATAGATAGATAGATAGATAGATAGATAGACAGACAGACAGACAGACAGACAGACAGACAGACAGACAGACAGACAGACAGACAGACAGACATACTTACATAACAACCCCACACCTCCTGTTGAGGAGATGACATTTTTCATCAATGACATTTCTCCTGGCTCTTTTTTCAAGACAAGACAGCACCACAATTATGGCAATCTGTAAAAGAAGGAAAGAAAATCCATGAGTTCCAGGAAGTCAAGGAATGCTGCTTGCCAACAATGGTAAGTTCTTATCATTTTACTTACTGATGGAAGAAGTGAATAATGCAAAAAAGGTTCCAGGTCTGTTGGGCTTGTACAGGTTTCATTACAGGTTTTATTTTGGGACTGACTGCATAGAATACACAAATGCAAATAACAGATTTAATTGAAAGCTGCATTCTGTACATTAAATAATAGTTTCTGATGGAAAAAAATGGAGAATGGCTCTGTGGGACCAATGAAGAAATGCAATCTCTAAATACATGGGTAGCCCAAACTTTCTTGATTCAGCTTCCGTCAAGTTAGGGGAAAGAGTCCAAGCGCAATAATACAGTGGGTGTTTTGTATGCAGAAGAGCTGAGCTTTTATGCCCGGCATTGCCTGGTAGGGCTAGAAAACCCCTCATTGTGAAACTTGGAGGAGTCTTAGCCTGCCCATAGGCAGTATGTTCAAACTGGATTGGAGAAATGTAGGGCACCAGTTTGGGGGAAGGGTGATTAAGTATAGGTGTGAATTAAAGTTTACCTCTATGCTCATGTACATGTGCTCTATATTGGCCCTTGAAAGAGTCTACCGAGAAGTTTTGAGGAGCCACTTCCTGAACCCCTTTCTGCAATGGCAGGCAGCCCAGTTCTTTGTAATGATGAGAGTAGGGTCAATCTTTCAAGGGAGCTACATTGATTTTGGGCTATCTAAACTGGGCTGCAAAAAATCTGGATGACCACTAAATGACAGCAAAGGAATAAAGAAAACTTTAATTCTTTAGTCTTACAGGTAGTTCTTGTTTAGCAACGACAATTGGGACTGGCAACTCGCTTGTTAAGTGAAGCAGTCTCTAAGTGAAAGAGAGACTGTGCTTATGATCTTACTTCAGCTTTCCTTTGCTTTACAGATCTACGAAGGCTGTAAATGCAAGGACTGATTGCAAAGTTACTGGTTCATCACTGTTGTAACTGCGAAGAGTTGCTAAACAAGCCAGTTGCTAAATGAGGACTACCTGTATATAGCAGTTGCCTGGAATTTTGCAGCCAACTCCCAATTTTGCCAGTGGGATTGCAGTCTATGATACTTTACCATCTATTCTCATCTATGCAGCATTCTAAGTTTCTGACCGTGAAAGATAGAGAACATGTCATTTGATAATAGTTCTGTCTGTCTACCTACCTACCTACCTACCTACCCACCTACCTTCTTTCCTCTCTCCAGGGAGCTCAGAGTATCATGAGGAAGTCTTTCTCCTTTGCTCCCTGAACTACCCTACAAAATAAGTTAGGCTGAACTCTAGAGATTCACCAACGACACCCACTGAGCTTTATGGCTAAGCAGGGGGTTGAACACAGGAACCTGCAGACCTGGTCCAACATTCTCTCATCAGCACCAGCACTTCCACGAACTACTTCTATGAATTAATCTTATTGACCATGCTCAGAGGAAATGGTTTCCATTCAGGACTTGATTCATCATTCTGTAAGCCACAGACTCTTCACCAACAGAAGAGCTTTCAGAGGATTAATAAATAATAAGCTGTCAGCAGATACTTGGTCAAGAACAAGGCCATGTATAGCTGCTTAGTTAGACTGATGCAAAGAAGACAGGGTGATTCTTGAATATACTGGAGATGGGGACCACTGTATTTCCTGTCTGAGTTAATAAGGATATTTGGTTGAGGCAAGTAGGCGGCAAGGGAAGGCAGTAAGGACAGAGTTTAGAAGAGCAGGCTCAGCAAAATCACAGAGATAAAAGAAGCAGGGCTTTTGAAACCATTTTTCTGTCTGAGGTGGCAGGCAAGATGTGTCTCCCTCCGATTTCCCATAAGGAAGTCAACCAAATCTATAACTGAATCTTCCTTTAACATTAATGATAAGACATCATCTACCATCATATTTAAGGACACTAGGCTAGCTTAGTGGGTACAACTCAGACCCTGTCCTCCAGGAGGGTTAGGAAACCCCAAGAAAGGCTGCCAGAAATGTATTCACCACTACCTCTCATGTCCCCACCCCAAGCATTTGCCCTGAGGCAGCCATCTCACTCTAACCAGAGTTGTCCCCGTTGCTCAAACTGGCTCATCCTCTCATTCATTACTGAAGCTCCTAACATCATGACTTCGCTAACAAAGTGCAGCAGATGGAACAAGGTGGGCACAGGTTTCTTCTGTAGGACTGCACTTGTACTCTACTTAAGTTGTCATGGCAAAATTGGACATGAGAGATAAACTGCAATCCAAGGGCTGCAGTCCAAGGGCTCAAGCAGGGATGGTGTGCAGGGCAAAGATTGACGGAATCTGGAGTAGTAAGAGGTCAGAAATGAGAGAGGAGGGCTAGGAAGGCCTTTTCAGTTATTCTTCAAATGCACTAAGCTTTGCACTGATTGAAAATAAAAAGAGTATTATTGTGGGAATATCATGCAAAAGCTACGGTATCCTTCAAATAATATGTCAAGCAATCTAGGATACAGGCAAGCGCCCTACACCAGATACTACCATCAAACTAGTGCCTCCTAAATCAGAGAAACGATGGAGAAAGATTTCTATAAAAGACTCAGCAGAAAGAGATTGGTGCTTCATCCTCCTCTTACTTATCTAACCCCCTTTTAGCCTGGGGTTCAAGTCAAATAGTCCCTCTGCAATTGGCCAGATGCATCTACCAAGGTTGCCCTAGGCTTCTTTCAGGGGGCGGAAAGCTGCAGAAGAAAATAAGTGGTTGAGAGGAGGATTAAGCACCCCCTCTAACTTCCTGATAATCCCTGCAAATACCCTCCTTTCCCCCACATGAGCATTGTGAGTTCAGCAAGTCTCATGGTTGTATCTCCCCTGCTCTAAACTTACCATGCCTCTAGAAAGGGCATCATGGCCAGGCTGAGAAAAGCTGTGTCAGTTAGATGGATGCAATTCTATAGGCCACCAGAGGAAACGATATGATGTCTCTGTCTTCTTTGTTTCATGTTCCTTTCTTAATCCTTCTGACGATTGGAGATTGCAAAGGTAATTCTAAGGTTGTTTGTAATTCCAACAGAACTGGCCGCTCATAAAGCAAACATTTGGTTAAACATTTGCCTGTCATGAGGGCACAATGAGGAAGTTGTGTAGGAGCTAACCAACCAGGAGAGTCTCCCAGTTATCTGCAGACACCACAGTTAGCAACCATAAGTAAAAAAAAAAGCCTTCCAATCAATGACACTGCACAGAAAAATGCAGTACGAAGTTCAGATGAGAAATTCAAGAGGGCGTGCAAGATGCAAAACAATATGACTTGAACAGCACAGGCTGAGTTGATGATATCCGGTGAGTCATTTACTGAAAAGGCTTTCCAGACTAATTTATGGTGCCCTCAACCTTAGTGGAATCAGGTGCTTTGTTTTGTTTTATTAAAAAATTCCCTCTCACCCTTATGGGTGGTATGTGTCTTCCTCAATCTCACGTCCTCTACCAGAGGCCTGGGAGTTTGAGGGTTCTGCATAGTATCTTAGCTGTTCCTAGCACTTCACTCCTCTGGGCAGAGAGCTCTGAGGTTGTTCCTGGGATCTGTTAGAGCCCCTCTCCCAGCTTAGGAGTCACAGCCCTGAGTGTTCCTACCATCACTGGGACCACTTTGGCCTTTACTTTCCACATCCTCTCTAGTTCCTCCTTCAGGCCCTGGTACTTCTCCAGCTTCTGATACTCCTTTTTCCTGATGTTGTGTCACTTGGCATCGCTACATCTATCACCACTGCTGTCTTCTGGTCCTTGTCTACTACCACAATGTCTGGTTGA